TCCCTTATCTGCACTTTAATGCTTCATTTCCTCCATTGGATACACACCGTCACAGCACCCCTCTGATAACAACCCTGCAACCGCCCTCTAAATACTGTTGAAGCCAAATGTCATCCATTGCCTCATCCTTTCCCCTTCGCACATAGTATTGCCTGATCCTCGTCTTGCACCCCATCCCCATCCACCACCTCCAATAAATCGCTTGCACTTTACCCCCACCCCATAAGTCCTCCCACAAACTTCAAAATCCCCTCCCTCCACCCCATCACCCAGTAGTCGTACATTCAGCTTCCAGTACCCCAAAATATCTCTTAGGCAAACCGTCCCAATTTAAATCAGCATAAACCGCCTATGATCTGAATAAACGACATTCACCGTCTTGCAACCCGCGTCACCACCACTCCCCTTGTCACATACAACCTATCTAATCGTGCAGCATATCCCTTTCTATGAAAAGTGTGCTCTATCTCGCAATCCCCCTCCATCAACTATATCCCTCAATCCCACACCTCTCAATAGATCCCCTAAACCTCCAAAAAACACCCTGCCCCCTCTCGGTTCCACATCCTTCCTGCGCACCCACAGTTCCAGTCGCACCAACTATTGTCACTGACGTAAGACCGCAAATAATATACCAATAACTTATTCACAAATTCATTCTTTACCCTTACATCATTCACAGCCGTCACATACACACAAAGACTGCCATCCGCTCCACCTCTCTCCCACCCATCTATTCTTAACACACACCACCCCCCCCCTTCACTCCTAAGAACAACAAACGGCTCGTCTCTCGGATCAGGATTCCTACCCCTCCCTTCATTCGCTCCGAATCACATCACAAACACTCTGTACCCATCCACCTCCAATTCCTTTCCCAGCTTGAAATTATGTTCCTGCAACAAAAACAATTGTCTATATCATAACGTCTTAAAAATCCCTTTACCCACAGACGCTTCTCACTCGCACACAATCCATTAATATTCACTGTCATGCACACGGAAACCTACTTAGTGATTCACCCTCTGCCCCTTTTCACCTTTCACTGACACGCTTTCAGTGTGTCTGCTTCGTCCACTTTTCTCTCCACTGCCCACTGGTGGCTTCCCCTATCCAACACCTGACCAGGCGTACCTTTAGTGCTCTCACGCACCACATCAACCCATGGCTTTTTTCCCCGGTCTCTGTGCCGGGTCAAAACATCATCAGAGTCAGAATATGTCGCCGCCCTCTTACGGTTGACAACACTCTGCATCCATTTCCAAACTCACTGGATGCCTCCCTGTGAATCTCGCAGTCACCTCAATCACTTCCACCACTCCTGGCGAGTCATCTGCCATGTTCGCCAATCTTCCAAGTTGCTCATCTTCAATCTGAACATTACTCCTCACCATACTCAAGTTATCCTCAGCAACCTGCTTCTCAAAGGATTTTTCCTGCACGTTCACCAGTAGGCCTTCCTCTACCCGCACGTCACCAAATCTGCACAGTCTTCCCGTTCTCCATGGCAGATGCCTCACTTCCCACCAACTGTGACAGTGATGGGCTGGTACCCACCAGTGGCAGCTCACGCTCCACTTCTCACTCCAGGAAGTGCCACTTCCTATGTACAGGTGCCTCATCAGCATGACCCACCTCTGGTTCTGGCTCTTTCACCATCTCACTACCTAGGTCCTTTTCTCCGCTGCCATCTCCCACACTGGGCCGCCATATGGTCATATGCACCACATAACCTACACGTCTTCTGCTGCCCAGCGTAGTACACCATTACCTGTGTCCTAAATGCGTCCAGTATGACGTAAACGGGATGGCATGCCTCAACTCCATCTTGATCGTGAACGTAACCATCCGCAAACCGGCATACGCCCCATCCGTTCCATTTACCAGCCATAGCCAGGTGTACAGTTCCATACTGTTCAAATACATACCGCAGATCATTCTCGTCCGCCTCAAATGGCACATTTCGGATTTTTCACCCATGTGTAATGCTTAGACACGTCGATTAGGCGAACACGTATCGCTGAATTAACATCCACGCTCCTGTCCTGGTACTTGTCAACCAGCCGTTCATACACTCCAGCTGAACTCAGCTTGACGAAAATACGATAGGCACCATTTAGTGCCACACCATACAGTTCTTGATCCGCAACACCATAGGTGTCACGGATAATTTGCGGTAAAAGCACTTGTGCAGACTGAGGCGTTATTGCACCACGCAATAATTCAATGCACACCGTGTGCAAACGCCTTCTCACAGACTGCGCCATGTTGTGAAAATATGTCTCCTCCAATGGCCAGCAGAGGGCAGTAGTCACACGTCTGCACTCTGCGCAGGTCAAGCGGCGAATGCAATGAATATTAGTTACAAAGATTTTTTCTGGTATTTATGGTGTGAATCTTGGTTTACTCTATAGAATATGTATGGTGATGCTATTTAATTTTTAAGCAGCCTTGTATATATGATGTTTTAAATAAAATATAAAAAAAATATATATATAAAAAAAAAATAAAATATAAAAAATATATATATATAAAAAAAAATAAAATATAAAAAAAAAAAACTCTCAAATGTCCAAAGGTGCTTCGCGTGGACCAAACAGGCAATTTAAAGCTTTTGGTTGCAGTATCTGTGTTCAGCCAATTACAATTCATGGAAATCATTGTCTTCCAGATGTCAGCCAATCAGAAGCTCTGTTGTCTCTATAAAAGTGAGGGTAAGGTGGTTTCTCAGTCACTTCCTTTCTCAGTGTTGAGGGGGTTACATTGACGTCTACAAAGGTATCAATTTTTGGGTATAATTATATGTCGAGAGATATAACATTTTTTTATATTAATTTATTTCATCAATATTTAATTTATGTAATCCAATTTATCTAGGCTATAACTTCAAATACAATTAGTATTTAAACTGTTCCTTGAGTTTAAACTAAATTGGGGCATTGGCTGTACATAAAATATTTGACTTCCCTTTTTAGTTGGAAACCATTTTAAAATTCTCGCTTCATATGTAGATGGTTTTAATTTGAGTTAAGGGGTAGTTCTGTATCGCTCAAACTATATACACTTCTGAAACTACCTGAACCTCTATTAGTCCTGGGTTTTGTGAAATTCCTAGTCTTCATCCTAAACTAATCACAGGAGTCTTACATTTTTTCTTCTATGATCTCGAGACTACATCCTTTAACTAGAGCGTTAACATGAATTCTTAATACTTAAACGTCTATTAATTCCTTCGTTTTTCAGAACTGTTTAGTAAAAACCCAACTATTCTCTAAAAGATAATGTCCAAATCACGAGTTACACTTGTACAGTAGGATCTACTGTCAGCTCGGTAACATGACTGGCATCACTTCACACGCTCTACCTACGCCTCTTGACACTTCTTAAACGCATAGTTTTCCTTTACTACTGATTCTTCACTTGCAGAATACTGCAAAAGTGAGTTCTTAACTTGTAACCCAAGTAACACTAACATACCACTACTAAATTAAACTTTTAGGTTTTCATTTAAACCTCAACTACCCACAACTAAACCCTGGCTTTAAACCAGGTTTGGCCTAATCGCCTACACTAGTCGTAGAGGAACCTTACTTTGTTACTCCTACCTTAGGTCACCCAGAAACCAACTGATTAAACTGCGTGTAACGATTTGCCCAACAACTCTACCCATACCAGGAACTGAACACCAGCCATTGTATAAAAGAAACATTGCCAATTAAATGGAAATAGTATAATCATGGACTACTTAACCCATAGTATTTTACAACGCACGTGAGGACGGGGAAATGAATGTATAGAAGGTAAGACAGCTCAGTTCGGGAAACTAAACGGTTGAAATCCCGTATCATAAACCCCTCACCAGCGTAAAGAACCTCCCCTGACGGGACTAAACAGGAACGTTTAACTCTCTGCTTCTTTCCAGACTTGCCCTACCCATAAGGTTTATTTTCTTGAATTAAAGCCCTCGAGGGAACTTCTTTAACTCTTTATAACTGAAATTGGGCTAGTGCTCAGGTTCCAAGAGCCTGAGACACTTTAATTCCCCCCCCCCCACACATAACCTGTGATCCTACAGGTTAACATTCCCAAAGTATATAATCTTAAAGTTAAATAGCTTTAATCTCCAATAATTTAATAGAATGAATCTTAGGGGACGACCTTGTATAAATGAAGAGTTTTCTTTTAAACTTTACACAGAAAAGCATGACTGAATTTAGTTTTTTTTTTTCTTCTCCTAGTTGGGCTCTGATTCTAAAATATAGCTCTAGTAAGTTTCAGAATCTGCCTTTTGCTCTGGTTTTTCATTACACGAATACGGAACAACTTCCTACCACTTTAATGAACTCAAGACTTGAAACTTCATATTGCTGTTGCGTATTTTGTTTTAACTTGTTACACCTCCAGTCCTCCTAGAGGAGAGAACTGATCTTAATCAATTTCAATACTAATAATCTTTAATAGTTACCATGTCCTGTTTTTTAAAAAAGTAGCCAAATAAAGTTTACTATTACTTTCTTCTCAGATAAGTAAAATGATTTACGTGCTCCTGGCCGCCGTCATAACTACCGTTGCTTGTGAGCACTTCATTAGGAATGATGGTATGCCAATCATTTACGTTGGTAACAATGATACAAACGTGGCTCGCTCTCCCGGCCTTCTAGTGGTCTCACCCGCTCCTCCACAAACTCTGCCTCTAATACCTACGGTTTCGGCAAACTCGGCTATACCGTTCGTATCCCCTAGAGATCAGCAAACAAACCAGCAACCTAGGTTTGTTGGCCCTACTACACATCAGGTAACTAACCCGCTGCCCCATCATAGAGGTCCTCTGGAACCTGCAACAAATCAGTTTCCTCTGTTTGTAGACTCTCAAGGTCTAAGTAACCAACAGTTCACAGCACCTCGGGAACAGAATACAAACTCGATACAGTTTCCGGCACCACTGGTTAACTCTCAACCTTCTAATACACAACAAATAACCAACCACCATCCTGGACTGAGTCTTCCACGACTTGCGTCAGCCTACATCTGTCTGCGATCCCCTCGCCAAGCCGTTGGTAAGGCTTCTCATTAGTTCTGTGAACTATCCTTTAATTTTTTTTTTTTTTTTTTTTTTTTTTTAAACTTTTGGAAAATTCCAGGTTGACGAGATTTACGATGGAAAGGCTTACCACTTCTCATGGTGTCACGATGGCGGCCGATCCTACACCTGGTTAACTGCTAACTATTACTGTGCAGGCCTTGGTAATGGCTTTCAACCTGTCAGTTTAGAAAGTCGGCTAGAACAAGATTTTATTTCTACCATTATTATTCAACGTAAGTTTAATCCTTTTGTTCTTGATTCTCGGAAATTCACTATTCAATAAACCAATTTTCTTTATTCTGATTGCCTTGCATTTCCATTGTCATCTCCTAAACTATGGACTATGCTTTATTTTTCATTAATATAAATCTAAAATTACATTTTCAGATTACATCTCTGACGTATGGACGAGCGGTAACACCATAAGCTCTTCCTCTTGGACTTGGTTATCTGGTGCGTCTTCAGCTTACACAAACTGGTCTCGTACTGGCAGGTAAAACTTCTCTATGAAGGGGGTGGGGGAGGAAGTACATGTAAATTTTAAATATTTTTTCTTACACCTAACAATTCTGTCCATAGGCGAGGCCTCCCTCAACCCGATAACGACGAAGGTAACGAGAAGTGCCTGGCTTTGCTCAATAACCACTACAACGACGGTGTTACATGGCACGACTCAAACTGCAACAATCAAAGACGCGTTATATGCGAGGCAACACAATTCTATGGTGTATGAAATAACCTTTTACTTCAGCTTGCTGTCATATTTTCTGCTTAAAGGCAGAATTAAAGCTTTTGTTTAATCCCTAGTTTCATTGTTACCCTCCAGAGCCTCTAAATTATTAACTTTTAATACTTACTCAAAATGGCCAAGACTCTTCCATTGTCTTTAACTTGGCCAAGTTCTTTGACTAACAAACATTTAATTATTATCCTTTTAACTTTTATTACCACACATTGCCCTCAAAAACAATTTCCCCTGTTGACTTAAACCTAGCTCTTTGCCCAAATGTGAAATTTTTTTTCTTTTTTCTTCACTTTAAGTATTCTACTTAAAGAGGTCAGACGTGGAACCCAGAGGAGCAGAATATTTTTCCTCAGTCTTAGGGGGCCTGTTCAGAGATCTTCAGTTGGGTGATGCTTTTGGGAAAGTCTGTGGAAGGTGGTACATACTTTTAAAGGCGAGGATACACGGCTCGTTCAGACAGAATATATTTATCTGAGGGTTTTGGTAGTTTTAAAAAACTATCGAGATGGTCTTCTGATCATAGGGCGGTAATAGTGGAAATGGGGTGGGAAGCTTTGGCTAGTAGGCAGGGAAGCTTAACTGAATAAGATGGTTTTGGGGGATGGGAAGGGAGTGGAAGTTTTTTTTTTTTTTTTTTTTTTTTTTTTTTTTTTTTTTTTTTTTTTTTTTTTTTTTCCTCTCTCTCTCTCTCTCTCTCAATAGTTTGGGAACAGCTCTGTGCAGAGGGATGGACTGAGGAGGATATGGTAGGATGGCGAGATAGTGTGGCCAAGGTAAGAATACATAAATTTTGTGCGGAGGGCAAACCATTAATTGCAGTATGGTTTCTCAAATTATTTAGAATCTAGATTACCGGGTTATGCGGGGGGGGGGGGGGTTGTACCCTATGGAGGAAATAAATGTTCAAGGACAGGATAAAGGATTTGCAAGAAGTTTTGCAGTGGTATGGGTAAAAGTGGGGCTGGACGAAGTACTCTCGTGGCGACAAGTCATCGGCTTGCGTGCTGAGTAAAAACGGTACGATGGCAAACTACAATACCGGGTTTGCAAGTCATTTCTTCGGTGGGGGTTTTAGAGAGGGTCAGGTATTGCAGGAAACAACTGGGATGAGTGCATGTGCAGATAGATGGTTTGAGGAGTATGGGGAAAAGTAGTGTCGTGGATGCAGAGGTTTTGGGCAGGTATGTATGTTCTGTGCAAACTGGGGAGGAGTGATCGGGAGGCACTGGGTGGGGTCATTGAGGAGGAAATATGGAGAGCCCTTATGGACATTAGTAAGGGAAAGGTGCCCAGGATAGATGGTTTACCAAGCGAATTTTATGTAAAACACGGAGTCTGCTAAGGGGTTTCCTAGTAAGGTTAATGAATGCCATGAAAGACTTGAGTTATGATTGGAGAATTGCAGGCAGCGACGGTGTTGGTCCCGAAGGGCAAAAAAGAAAAAAAAGGCAGAGTACCCTTCGGGATTACAGCCATTTCGTTGCTTTGTGCTGATTATAAGATGTTTGTGAAAGTTCTTGGGAATAGGCTTAAGTGTTGTGGGGAGGGTGATGTTTTGAGTCTGTTTGGGTTGCCGGGTAGGTCAATGGTTGAGGGCCACGGGATCATAATGGAGGACATGGAAGGGGGGCAGAGGAGCATTGTTGGCATTGGATTGGCAAGGGGCTTACGACAGGGCAGAAAGAGGTGCTTTGCAGGATATTCTCCTCAGACAGGTTTGGCAAAGAAAGTGAGGTGGGTGGATAAATTTTACTCAGGAGTTAAGGTAAGGGTGCAAATCAATGGTTGTGTAGGGGAGTCACCATGGAGCAGGGTCTTCGGCAGGGTTGTCCAGTATCACAACTTTTGTTTGCATGTGTTCAGGATCCATTATAGGATGGAAGATCGTCTAAGGAATGGGGGGGGGGGGAAGATGGTGTGCAGAAGCCTTGGCCTGGCTTGGTGGGCTGTTGACGATACAACTATTCTGGTGTGTGAAGTGACAGTTAGGAGTTTTAGGGGGAAGTTATACACAAGTTTGGGAGAGCTACTTGGATGAAGGTAAATCTGTAGGTCAATGATAATGGGGCTGAGTGGGCAGGGAGATTAGAATGGGGATGTGATGTCATGCAGCTTCAGACTCAGTCTGAAAATCTGTGGTCATATATGAGGCTGACCCAGTGCTGAAAGGGTCAATACAAATTGGATGGTAGAACAGGTGCAGCAACGTTTGGGAATGCTGCGACCTCACCATTTAACCCTTAGGCCACGAGCAATTGTCATCAATGTATTTATATAGCAAGTCTGGTTTGTATCGGCAGTGTTGCCGTTAACAGGAACGGCGATCACGAGTATTCTTATAATGGTGTTCAAATTGTGGGGTTCAGGGTGCAACTGGTTGCAAAGGGAGGTAGTGATATTGCCCATACACAGGTTTTTGTGTACTATGCTGGTCAGAGGAAAACTTTCATTTGTGTAGCTCCTATGAGCACATGGCAGGCAAGTGTCCTAGGAGGCAGGCTCCTTGAGTTCCGGACCTCAATTTGTGATCTGGCAAAAGTGATTTGGTGCCTGACTTGGGTGCTTTGGGAGGATGGAGGACTTGCCTCTGGAGTGAAGAGGTCGAAAGGGAGGTGGCGGCAGCGGAGACGTCACTCCCAGGGGCGTCGGTGGAGACTGTGATGCCTGAAAGAGTTTAGTTCAGGATTCTTCGACACAGGATGGTTTATTGGTGGATGTGATAAAGGATTTTTTGGGTGGGGAAGTCTTGTGCAGAAGGAGTCTTCAGTTCGTGAGGGACAACAAAAGGCAGAGAAAGCATAGAGAAAGAAAGGACTAGAATGTGTGGTGTTGAGGTACACCAGGAGGATTTGCGTGATGGGGATGTGGAAGTTCTAGGAAAAGAACTGCAGGAGCATCAGATAGACAAGGTCATCACCCTGGGGCAGAGGCCGGGGAAGAAATCGTGGGCAGTGGTGGAGCCAATGGCTCAGTGGTAGAAGTGTGCCCGAGTTGCACAGCGGGAGAGGGGGGGAGAGTGAGTGCACAGGAAAGAGTGAAAAAGCAGTTACACACAATGTGAAAAGTGCGTAGGGGAAAGCCACCTCTTTTGTAACTTGCAGATGTGTCACACTTAATTAATGTTAATGGCCTTAAGGCAGAGGTCAAGAAAGTTTGGTTGGTGTGGTTTTTTATGGAGGTTTGATGTTTACATTTTTCTTTGCAGGAGTATAATCGCAGGGCTGGGAGAGTTGAGATTGAAAGGATATTGCATGTTAGCAGTGGTTTGCTATTGTGGGGTGGCAGTGAAGGAGACCAGCCCCTTGCATGTCATGGGTTGGGAAGAGGAGGGTAATGAGGGTGGATGGTGTCTGGGGTGAGTCGGGCTAGTTTCGTAGGTGGTTTACATGGCAGCGACTAGCAATACCAGGGTAAAAGTAGATTGTCAGGGAGGTATTGCTGTATCACTTGAAGTTTGCCTGCTATAAGTCGTAGATGATTGGAAATGTTTGAAACGGAGTGATGTTGAACAGAGAGGGGTGGACTGTTTTTCTGAGGGATGTATTGCAGGATGTTGGGGTTGTGGTGGGGAGGGGGGGATACCTACTGGAGCATAGGTTCGTCCAACGGGGATATGAGGCACGATTGGACAATCTGTCGAGCAGTGGAGTAGTGCGTATTTATTCTGGGTACTGAAAATTAAACGTAAGACTTCTTGAGGAGGGGGTGGGGCCTTTTTTCAGTGATTTGTGGTTGCATTTTTGGGAGGCTAAGAGGGGGAGATTTAGATTGGTGGAAACGCAGGCTAAGCCTGATAGCGATTTTTTAAGGTTAGGGGATGAAGAGAGCTGGCATTAAAGGGGTTGCAAAATTGAGGGACAGTTGCAAGACCGTTGTGATGGGCGAGGTGGTAGGAGAGATGACATAGGTAGTCTCTGGCGTAAATAGCTGAATTACCCTATGATGGGTTTGATGCAATTAGGGTTAGGTTAGAGGATGTATTGTGGGGTGATAAGCTGTCTGGGGTTTTATGTAAATTTAGAGAAAAGAAAGACGGTAACCACCATATTACAATTGGAAATAGGAGTGGAGGGTACCCAGAGGTCTGGTCCTATCCAAAAATGGAAAGTCTCTGGATTAGAAGGGGGGGGGCGTTTCTGGGAGGAATTTTGGAGGGGGGTTCCATAGTGTTTTAAGTGAGCAGGATAGTGGGTTTTGGAGGGTGGTATAAGTGAGGTTGAGGTGGAAGAGGCAGTTTTAGGGATGAGTACCGGAAAAAAAAACACCGTTGATAGATTGTATACCAAATGATTTTATAGAGCACATTGGGGTGTATTAGGCAATGCTTTGTTGGGGTATTGAACCATGTTAACTAGTGGTAAGTTGGGCAAATTGCAAAGTATGGGTGTCTGTTTTGATCCCAAAGCAGAGGGGGCAAAGGGGTCTAGAGTGCTTATCGAGCAATATCTGATGTGTGCAGATTACAAGGTTTTCGCGAAAATCTTTGGCAATAACTGAAGGTCATGGGGTTGGTGATGCATGGGGGACAGTTTGGAATTCCAGGGAGGAGTATGTGGGTAGGTAATGGACGTATTAGGGATTTTCTCGAGGGTAGTAGTGGGACTATTCTAGGTCTGGATTAGGAGAATGCTTAAGATTGTGTGGATAGGGATTTTTTGATTGAGAGTATGGTAAATGGGTTTTGGAGGGTGGTGGGATGGGTGAGGATATTATATGCTGATGCATCGATGAGTACAGGTAAATGGTTGGTTGGGTAGTGCTATACATATGGGTAGGGGTTCGAGGCAGGGGTGTCTGCTCTCCCAAATACTCTTTGCATGTATGCAGAATCCTTTCTATGTGCTTGTTGATGGTGGGACAGGAGGAAGGGAGGAGAGTGGAGGCTTTTGTGGGAATATTGTGGTTTATGTAGATAAAACTGTTATACTTAATGAGAGAAAATTTTAAATAAGGTGGGAAGGGTACTTGAGATTTTTGGTAATGCTAGTGGTATGAGTTAATAAGCAGAAATCACGGTTTCTGGAGGTAGGCACGACCTTGAGCGAGTAGTTTGGC